GAACTGTGAGCCGCCCTGAGTCCCCCCAGGGAAAAGGGCGGCATACAAATATTAATAAATACCAAATACCAGTAGCGGAAATTTTGAGTAGTTTGGAGAACCGGCAAAATGCCTGACCCCAGAATGGGGTGGGAATGGAGATTTTACAGTATCCTTCCCCTGTCACGCCCACCAAGCCATGCCCACCAAACCACACCACACCTACCAAGCCACGCCACATAACCGGTAGTAAAAGAAATTGAATTTCACCACTGACATAATGTAATACCGCATGTGAACTCAGCCACTGTAGTATTTCGATCCTGGTGAGTTTAAGTTGTGGGCTGTTCAGCAAACCCAGGATTAAACAAGAGCATTTTGTGCAATGTGAACTCTGCTGATTTGTCATAATTGAGCAGGACACATATTTTGGAAATCTTAAAATCAAGGGAAACTGCTAGTTTCATTCTCCTCCTAAACTCTAAAAAGCCATATCCTGCATGGCTTTGACAACTTCAGTGGTGGTATAGTATAGTGGTTCAAGGCTGGAAAGAACAAAGGGGAGACTCAGGTTCCTGTCTATCTTCAACTCCCTGGGTGATTTTGGGCCAGTCCCTCTCTCTCAACCCAGCCCACATCATAGGTTTGTTGCTCTTGGGAAAAACGAGAAAAACTTACACTCCTGAAGAAAAGGCATCTGACAAACAAAATTGGGAATCTAACAAATGAATAATTATGTCTTCTGAAACCATGTACCTAGAACAGCTTTCCCAAACCTAGATACCTCCTAGACGGATGAGTTTCAGCTCCCCACTAGGTTGGCCTTTGCTGAGAATTCTTGGCACTGAATTGGCAGAAATGACCTTAATTTGCCTGCCTACCCAGTTACCTGTAGTGAAGTCTGTGTGTCTTTTGAAGTAGGTTAAGATGAAGTAGCACAGGATGTAGAGACTGCCAAAAAGAAGGGTGCAGATCTGTGGGAGGAGAAAGAAAAACTGGTTACGAGATGCTGGTCATGAGTCATCCTCACCTCTTCCCAGTGACTCTTGAGGATATGCAACCCACTTCATCCAAGGCAAATGGAACACAATTTGGAAAACTGAAGGATCCTCTTCTCTATCCTATTACTGAGCAAAACCATTTTATTACCATCACTATATTCAATGCTTTCCTTTATCAACATTTCTTTGTGAAATTTCTTCAGACTACTCTGTTTCCCTGAAAATAAGACCTCCACGGATAATAAGCCCAATTGGGCTTTTGAGCACGTGCGCTAAAATAAGCCCCCCCCCCAAAATATTTAAATGCATGCGCAGCCAGTCCCCTCCATTTAATGGGAGAAAAGGGGGGGAACATGTCCAACGTGCCCAACATGCACCCGCCATCCATGTGGAACAGCCTCGCGGAGGCCACTATCTGGGTTCCCTAACATACGTTTTAACAATACCTGGGAAGGGGCGGTGATTTAAGAGCTGGAGAGAGCAAAACAAAGAGAGGAAACATTAAAGCAGGAAATTGCAGTCTGCGTGCTTACATACCAGATCTAGACTGGGTTCAAAGATGGCGGTACAGTAGGCAGCAATAATGGGATAAGTTTGAAGAGCACCAAAACTGGAAAACCCAGGAAACCACATTTATGACTGAGGGAATGATACCAGGCGCGTGACGAGAATAATTGCAACAGAGAAACTGTTTCAGGGAAGTGTTGAAAACGCCAGTTACTAAAGGAGGCTTTGAAATAATCCCATCTCCCCAAGTCAAGCTTACAACTGAAAGAGGGAGTGAACAGAAAAGTGAAGTGGGAAGAAGAGTGGATCAGCAAGTTTCATCCTTTCTTCATCTAGTCGGACTCCTATACCTCTGATTCTTTATTCTACATCTTAGCTACTCCATTGCCAGCTCATCCTAAAATACTCGGAATATCATAACTATGGGAAGAAAGCAAAGCAGTACTTTTTAAAAATAAAAGCACATCTGATTAAAAGATTTGAGAGTGAAAAATTTGCATTTTCCCTGTTCAGACATTATTTCAGTTGAAGCCACGTTGTTTCCTCTAGTAACTTCACATAAAATGGAAGACATACCCACTCAAATAAGCGCATTTCTGAGAACAAGATTCAGAAGTTAAAACAACAAAACTAAGCTTGAAAAGAAGATCCCATCAGTGAAGCTATGTAAACAAAACAAACCTAAATCTGAAAATTGAATGGTCAGAGCGCTAGGCAAATAAACATTGCAAAATAATCCTCCAGCTATTTTTGGTGGAATGAGCATTAAATTGCTCTCCAGCCCCAACAAGTACTAGTTATATAAAAAGTAAACATGGATGTTTCATCTGCCACATGACAGGTTTACTGGGCTGCCCAAGGACATTCAGGTGGTGCTCCTGAAAACATACCAGGTTTAATTTAAAGGGTCATTTTTTGCATTCTAACGTTCCAAAGTTTTGTTTTTCAAGAAAGAAAGCAACCCTCTGTGATCAGGATGATTAAATGCCACAGACTCTTAGCCCACCTTATACTACAAACCTATTTTAAAACGTGACAAAGGTTGCACGCTATCCTTTTTCAATCTGGTGCTATCCAGAAATGATGGATTTCCAAAATCCCTCCACCATAATAGCCAATAGAGCTGGATTTTCTCACAGAATCTATGCTAGAATATTTGCCCATCCCTAATTAACCATATCAAAGAATTGAAGTTATAAAAAAGAGACCACTACCAAAAGGTAACCAATCCCTTTCCAGGAATTTCAACAGTAAGAAAGATGACCACAAATATGTGGTATCTTAGCTTTACATCAGAAACAAGGATCCAGTCTTTAGAAATATCAAAGTATACTGCAAATGATGAAGCTTGCAAAAAAGGCCAAACTAATTTCCTTGGTTAGGTAGGGAAAAGACAATATCTACGTTTATTGCTCATCAGAAACCCCTTATAGACTTTTTGCATGAAACAGAAAAAAAATACTCAAGGTTTATAGCTTTGATGATTAGGACAAAAATGTAATTTTTTTGTAAAAATTTTGTTATATTTATAAGAGAATATTTGTAGCTCAGGGTTGAACTGTGATATCCTTAGTGCTCTCTGAGCTTGATTGTTTTTTGCAGATATTTCATTATCCAAACTAGGTAACATCATCAGTGTAAAATCATGATAATGATGATACTGTTACCTAGTTTGGGTAATGAAATGACTGCAAAAATCAATCAAACTGAGACAGCGCCAAGGACCCCATTGGAGTTATATTTCCTGCAAAAAAAATTGAAGCTGCTTCTTCTTCTTTTCATTTTATGTTTTCATTTTTTTTCCTTTAAAGGTAAAGGTTTCCCCTGCACATAAGTGCTAGTCGTTCCCGATTCTGGGGGGCAGTGCTCATCTCCATTTCAAAGTCAAAGAGCCATCGCTGTCCAAAGACGTCTCTGTGGCCATGTGGCCGGAATGACTAAATGCCAAAGGAGCACAGAACGTTGCTACCTTCCCACCAAAGGTGGTCCCCATTTTTCTACTAGCATTTTTACATGCTTTTGAACTGCTAGGTTGGCAGAAGTTGGGACAAGTAATGGGTGCTCACTCCATTATGCGGCACTAGGGATTCAAACCACCAAACTGCCGACCTTTCTGATCAACAAGCTCGGCGTCTTAGCTACTGAGCCACCGCGTCCC